TCACATGATAATATAATTCATATATACTAAACAAAATAGTAATAAAGATAAATTTCAATGATTAAGTTTAATGCATAATTTATTAGATAAATTTAATTTAAGTTTAATGCATAATTTATTGATAAATTTAATTTAATGCATATATGTTACAGAATTTATTAATTTTATTGCTCTTTCTCACAACTCTTTTCTTTTATAAATGCAGTTAAATCATTTTGTAGAATCTGCCTATATGATTTAAATTTTTACATGCATATTCAGCTAACTTTCCTGTTAATATCTCATGATATAATTGCATGTATCTCTATGATTTTTGAGTATACTTCCTAATTGTAGTAATATTCACTGAATTAAGTATTTGCGAAATAATTTTTTGCAAGTCAACCCATGTGTAATCACAATGATCACTTGCATAATACTTGATTACACCTAATACATTTCAATAAAATTAAGTTCGCAATAAAACTTTAGATAGAAAACATATAAATGACCTGCATTTTTAATAAATTCTACAATAGCTGACTTTTGCATTACAAAATCTGGTTGAGATATCATAATCTTTCTTGCACAATAATCAACTTTTAGAGATTTTTTTTTCTTACACATTAAACATTCTAAATTTAATTCTTCTTTTCATAACCCTTTCTTGTATTATCCTTTTTATCCTATTTGGTTTTTCTTGCAAGGTAGGATCAAAATAATTTTCTGAAAATACCATTTGCTAGATTATTTCTTGTCTATCTTTATCAATAAAAGATGTTTATTTCATAATTGGTTGTTTTCCCTAGGATCCAAATTCATCCTTACTATAACAAAGGCATTTTTGGTATATACTGCATAATTTGTACTATTATTAAAGGCAAAAATAGCTGTTGCATTAAGAAATTTTACCTCAAAAATAGGAATTACTTTGGATTTAATCTGCTCTAACAAATGCTCAAAGATTCAGTAACCTTTCTGATTCTTACAAGGTAAAAGATAACAACAATAAGCTTTTATAGAAATATTTAGATTTCTTTCTATTTCTTCTTCACTAAGTTTCAATTGACTATAAGCCTCTGAAAGAAATTCACTCACCATAATCAATCTTCCATTTCCATTTTTTTGCAATAGCATTTCACCATCATCAATCTAAATTCTTTTTTCCATCATTTATATAAAAGATACATTCATTATGAGTAACAAGAATTAACTCTCATTCATTAGTTTAAGTACTGTTAGAATAACTTCCATTTCCTTTCCTTTATATCTAGCTATTTGTTATTCCAATTCTTTCATAATTTTTAAAAATTCTTTTTTATATATAATAACATCCTCTCATTTGTATCCATAAAAGTAAATACCCTTCTGATATCCTTCAAACCAGTATCTTAAAATATGCAATCATTTTTCAGCAGTTTTTATGCTGATTGTTTTTCAGGTTTCTATACATTCAGGCAAAATAAAATTCTCAATATATTGCTTAAAATAAATTACATCAATACTATTTAAACCTAATTCTTATCATAACTATTGTCGTAATCTCAATGCAATATCTTCATCATCAACAAATTGATAATATTTTTATGCTTTCTACAATATGAAACTGGAAATAATTGATGATTCAAGTAAAATTAGTCATAGAACAGATCTATTTAGCGGTATATAACTTTGAAATAATATAAACCATTTGTGTCACTTCTTCACTAGCTTTCATTTTCCCATTGTCATTATTTACCTATATAAGATATTCATAAGCAGCACGTTATTTGTTATATTCAAAAACTGTTAGCATTTTTCTATTCTTAATAAAGTCATCTCAAAGTTATACAATTCTTTTACAAAGTATTGAATTTTCATTTGTTTTTGACAAAGATCTAGGTAGTATAATTAATACTAATTATAAAAAAGAAGATGGTGATAGTAACAAAAAGAAGGTGATGGTAGTGAAAAAGAAGATGGTGACAGAAGCAGAAAAGAAGATGGTAATGGGAATGAAAAAGAAGATAGTAATAGAAAAGGAGATGATAATAGTGATAGTGATGACGATGGTAATGGAAATGATAATGATAATAGAATAGGAGAACTTCCAGTAAATTTACTGATACAACTATTTGAAGATGCTGAAAATTTGAATAATACAAAAGAACTACCAGCAAATCTACTACTACCCTAAAAACTAGTAATTTTAGGTATTTTCATAAAAGCATTGGCAAGTATACTAGTAGTACCAAATTTATGATAATAAGTTATTTTTGGTATTCCTTTTATTGTTCTTTTATTTTTTTCAGGTTTATTTCATATGAGAGCTGTTATAAATAAACACATTCGTGTCTTTTCTTCCAATTTAATTCCTTTCTCTTTCTTCTTAACGGACTCTATATTTTTATTAGTCTTAGTTTTTTCCTTTTTATCAAATAACAGTTGTCTCTGCTTATTGTATTCTTAAAGTCTGACAAAATATTTTTTACCTGTACCATTTTAGAATACTTTTCCCGTCAAAAATCCAAAATATGTGACTTTCTATTAACCAATTGAATTTCACAAGTAATTTATTAGCTTTTTATTAACTAATATTAAATCATGTGTTCGTCTTACTGGACACTAATCATATGAAAAGGAAGCATTTTAAATTGATATAAGTCAGAAACAAGCAATTATCTTAAAAAAGAAAGCCAGCAATTTGTAATAAATTAACTTAACTTCAAAATAGTGGCTTTCTTTTTTTGATATTATTATTTTTCCTATCAATTAAATTACTATTCAATTTCTAATAAATTATTATAATTAGTCTTATAATATTAGTATTTATATTTTATTAATTAATAAATAAATAAATTAAAATTAAAGTAATTTTGAGATTATATATTAATAAATTAATAAACTATAAATTTAGTAGTAATTACATATACAAATTATGTATATAATATACATTTTATCTGTGATTTTTGCATCTGTTAAAGAATTAAAAAATATTTATTTTTTGTATATGTATTTCTCACTTTTCCGTATTTAGTTTAAGATTTTTACTTAAAATAACATATATATTATACTAAAAATTTCTTAAAAATTATATATTATAAAATTTAATTTTTTTTATGGAATTTTATATTAAATTTTTTATAGGATTTTAAATATATTAACTAAATTAACTAATTAATTAAATTAACTTAATTAAATATATTAATAAATATATTTTCTATACTTACTATATCTAATATATTAACTATACATCAGTTAAAATACTCCATTTCAGCAAAATTCAGATTTAGTTTAATGCTGAATTACAAACTAAATCTAACCTGTTAGTTTATGCCAATTGTCACATTTCACCTGTTACTTGATCATGATATTTAATATATAATCAAAGTAACGAATAATAAAATTCAGAGATTTGAATTTTAAGCGAATTTTTAAACAAATTTTAAATAAATATTAAACAAATATTAAGTGAATTTTATTAAATAAAATGAAATGTACTTATATTTTGCTAAATTAATATAATATAACTTCAGAAATTTACTACAAAATTATAAAATAAAAAATATGTTAATAATAATCTTCCTCATATTTCCCATATTGATCACTATCATAATTTCTATATTTATCATCATTTTTATCATCTTAAATAATACACAGATTTCATTCATAGGTAATATTTCACTTTTTTCAACTTTTTGTTTAATAGTCAACTTTAAGAAGCTTCAAAATCAGTTTCGTAATCTATATCTTATTCTTCATAGGTCTAATCTAGAGTGTCATAAGGTTCAGCCAACTTATAAAAGTAAATTTCATCATTATGTTAATGATCTCTCGTCAGTTTAGAGGTTTGCAATATTAGTGAATAAGAATCAATTATGTTATGTAAAAGATTTTTTAGCTAATAAAAAATATTAGGTTTTATAATTGTGAGTATCAAATAAGAATTAAAATGTATTGATCAAACCTCTTCTGACCTTCAAGAAAGGTCATAAGTGTTGATATTATGCTTTACATTTACTAGATTTTCATTATCTGTTTCGCTAAGCTCTGGTGAATAATAGCGATTATTTTATAATATCTTTAACACTTCTTCTTATTCATATTTTGCTACTTGATTATCTTTCTTTTCAAAAAGAAATTTAGCATCTTTTTTATGTCAGAACTTTTTATATTTAATAAAACAAATTTAGTAAATAGCAAATAATTTTAATAAAAAGTGTAACTTTATTTACCTTATTTAGTCAACTATTGCTATATAAATGATGATTATCTTTATTAAGCTTCCCATTTTTTCTATAGTTATATCAGCTTCTTCTATGCTTATATCAAGCCTATAGATAATTTCTTAATTGACCATAAGAAGAGTTATATCTTAGCCTCATTGCTTTCATCAATTTGAATATCAGCTTTCATAAAATTTCATTACTTGAATCACTTATAACCTTTCATCATATTTCATTTCATTTTTAACTAGCAAGGTTTTAAGTATTGTTTTCATTTTATACTAATAAAATAATATTAGTTATTAAACCAGTATAACAAGTAAAAATAATATAAAATTCTGAACCCTTGCACCATTTACATCTAATTCCTCTTCGTCATCACTATTTCTGATTGTTTTTTTCCTTTAGATTTCTTTTTAGTTTTTTGACGTTTAACACTTTAAGTGATATTATAATCTGTCTTATTATTTGACTCAAAATCAGCTTATAAGTCAATTCCATCTTTTGATTCCTTATCAGTTGACTGTAAAGTCCTTGGCAATCAAAAGGATTTGCTTTGTTTAAGTTCTTCATGTAATTTATCCTGTTCCTTTTCAAATTTCTAATTAATAAAAAATAAAGTTTCATTTTCCTAGTGCAGTTTATCTAACTCTCCAGAAAGTGCTTCATTTTGACTTTGTAACTTCTAGTTATCTTCTTGTAATTCAATGATTCGTACATATAACTGAGCAACTTTTTAAATAATTAAAAATTGGTATATTAGTAATATTATAAACATAAAATTTAAATAAATCCGTATCCATACTATCAATATTTCTATCTTTTGGTAAACCTTGAAGTACATTTTTCTTTAACAGGAGGTAAATGCAATCTCATAGATAGACATATATTTAGAATCGATCTGATTTTGCTAAGGTCTCTTTCTTTATTTTGCTTACTAGAAGTGGCTAGCGTAAAGTTAGTTCCTTGACGAATTGTTTTTGCTAGATTTTTTTTAAAAGAAAGTGTTAGTATCAGTTCTATTCAGCATAAGCGAAAATTGGTCAAAAACTACCAGAATAAGTAAAAGCAGATGATTCTGAAATAGGTGCAGTTAGTTGAAACTTGTTTCTTTGGTAATTCATCTATATATTTCTAAATTATTAGCATGAATGTTAAGTCGCGATGAATATTTTAAAGAAGTTAAATGGAAAAATGGGCTTCTTTTATATGGTTGAATTTCAATAAACTTCGGTAAACTTTACTATATAGACTATATATAAATATATTTTCATATAATAATACAATAGAAATAAACTTTTAGAATGAAATTTTAAACTAAATGTGTTTATATATTTTAATAATATTTTAATAAACTTTTGGAATAAATTTTAAACTTCAACAAATTTATATATTTTATAAAATTAATTTAAAAAATGATAAGAAAAAGATCAATATCAAATGTAATTCATAAAGTGTCAACTACTTCTCGACCAATTGCTGAGCTAACTAGCAGAAAGAAGCTAAAAGTTTCTTGTCTTTATAGTAATACAATGGAAATATGGTTGATTCACGTACAAAAAGACTACATATATCAAATAAACAAAATAATTACTTAGCTTAGGAAGATATCAAATTACTTTAACCAAATGTTAAAAATGAATAGGATAAAGAGACTTCAACAACTTCAGCTGTTTTAGGACAAACTTTTAACTAAAAAGACAAAATAATGAAGAAACTCAAAATCTACCAATAATTTTACCTATTTTAATGCTTTATTGCCTCAAAAACATAGATATACAAATTGTCAAATATTGTTTGTTGAACTTCCAACTACAAAATATAATGATACAGCAATAGAGAACTCTGAATTCGATACTGAGGATGATGATAATGCATTAAATGGAACTGAACAGGCTGATTATGATTATGTTGAATATTTTGAAGATTATTTACCATCTAACTACAAACCATTTAAAGATCCAATTGTTTCAGAATCAATAAATGATAGACGATTTTTATGGATTTTGATATGGATCATAAATTTCTGAGTTAAATATCATATATCAGAAACAGCTACTGAAATTTTGGTTAAATTCATAAAAATAGTATTAGAAGAAATCAGTGATGAAAACTTTGATGGTTTTCCTGACTCACTTTATTTAGTAAGAAAGAAACTTGATCTGAAAGATCAATTTCATAGTTTTGTGGTATGTTTGAAGTACCACAAACTATATTAGAAAAAAGAAGTGATAAATTTTTAGTAGGCTAAAATTCTAGCAATTATAAAGTGTCAACATATTAAATATTCAAATTCAACAAGTCAGAAAATGCATTTATGTTAAATGTCATTATCTCAGCAAATGAAATTATTAGATAGTCGAATAACTAATCAATCTAAACTAATATATCTATTTGTTGGGATTTGCCAACAGTTAGCTATTTTATATTATCAACCAGGATTTGAAAGTTTCCTTAGACATTGGGCAAATCAGTCAAATTTTGATATTTTAACCGATATATATGATGGCCAAGTATGGAAAAATTTCAAAGAAACAAGTAATGAAGAATTGCCAAACTTTTTCTTAAATGAAATGGCCAATTTGCATCTTAGGTTAATGCTAATTCTTGATTAGTTCCAACTATATGATGGAATTATCCATAGCATTAGTGTTATCTATGCTGCAATTTGCAACTTGTCTTGTGATTTGCGATTCAAATATGAAAATCTACTAATTCTTAGTCTTTTATCTGAGTTAAACGAAGTTAGCTTATATAGAATTAACTACTATTTGGCACTAATTGTTAATGATTTTAGGAGTGACTTTAGATCATATATATGAATATAAGGAAGGAAAATATATTCATACAGCTCTAGTTCTTGTCTTATGCGATATTCTAGTTGCAAAAAAAATCTGCAGATATGTTTTAACACTTATTTCATGTCATAGATGTAAAAAAAAGCGAACTATGAAAATCAATAGCATAATTATACTGGAATGATGATATAAATGAATAATTCTTTATTCAGAATTCAATACAATACTGACAAAATACAATAGATTAGTGACATTGTAAATCTAATGTAAAAAGAAAAATATTTGTCAAAGAAAATGGTGTAAGGTGGTCTGAGTTACTTCAGTTACCATACTTTGATCCAATTCAGTTCATTATCATCAATCTGATGCATTGTCTATTCTTAGGCATTGCAAAGTGAATTGTAAAACGAATTTGGATTGAAGAGGGTATTTTAACACTAAATATATTGGAAAATATTTAGAAAAAAATGAATGAATTTCAAGTGTTAACCGATTTGGATCAAATTCTAGGTAAAATTGATTGTAGAGAAGGTTTTGCGAACTTGATGGCTGATTAGGGGTAAAACATTTTTACAATATATACCACTGTCTTACTCTGGAAACATCTACCAAGTAAGGATTGTAAAATTCTTACACATTTTGTAATAGTTTGTATAATTTTGATAAATTGAATTATAGAAGTTGATCTAATGAGAGAAGCTCACCAAAGGTTAATTGAAATAATAAAAATAATTGAAGAACATTATAGTCAAGGTAACCAAATCTCTATCTCTTACTTCATTTATGCGAATACACATATGATTTTGGTCTATTATATGCATTTTGGTACTTTAGTTTTGAACGCATAAATGGAATTATAGGCAAGTTAAAAACTGTAAATTCTAACAGTTAATTTCTATATTTATTTATTAATTTTTAATTTAGACTCTTTACCAAATAGTCATCAATAAATCGAGCCTAAAATCATGCATTGATTAATGAATGATAACCAAATCGCTGAATTGACAAATTTCAGAATTAAGACAAAAGGCTTCAATTTGCTTAATAGTTAACCAACTGTTAGATCTTTATCAGTAACAGATAATTTCTCTTTAGACGAGATACACCAATTTTGGTTGAACTCTCGTCTAATGCAGAAATTAACAATAATCAGAAAGGAACAATTTCTGGGTGAAATGCTAAACCCTTCTTCAGAAAATATATTACTTTCAAATTTAATGCTTGATTTGTTAGTCAAATATTATATAGTGACTTATAAATTATTTGAATTCTGAAGGCCATTTATAGAAGGTCCAGAAAATGCTATAATAATCTGAATCAAAATAAACCAATTTGGAAGATGTCGAATTAGTTCTAAAATATTTTGCTCTGCTATTTTAGCTTGTCATATGAAGAGCTCATTTTGTTTTAGTCAGATTTGTAATTGATAATGATAGTATTGATTGCTATTCTAGGTAAATCCAATATTTCTTTACACATACACTTGATTTATCAGATGGACCTACCAAACATACTTTGGTTTATATTTGATGATATCATCATGTAGGCTCTCAGTATTATTTTGAAATTGATGATAAAGAAAAAACTAGTAATGCTGAATTATGAGACACCAATTTTTATTCAAAAAGTCAGAATTGCATCATTTCAATTTATAATATTTTTGAAAGATTTGTACCAGTAAAATATCAAATATTGAATAAGCGAAATGTGAAAGACTATTTGGCTGTAAATCTGATTAATAGAAAATTCTATATTCAGGAGAACTTTATATGCATAAAAAAATTAACTTATTAAATTTTTTAACTTTATAATATCTATTTTATATTTATATATATTTACTGAAATTTACATGTTGCATTAATTTATAACGAATATTTTATTATTTATTATTAAAGATTTAGTCATAAATCGGTCACCAATTATTTAATTCAAATTAAATCGAATTTTAGCAATCTCTAATGTTAGCTGAAATTAAGGCGAAAATTGGCTGATTTGTCATATGCCAAAATTTCTTATTTTAACCAGTGATATTAATATGTCTAATGTATTTAATATATAATATTTTCAATATTTAGTATTATATTATATTTGCAAATCATATTACATATATCTGATTATAATACATAATATTTATATTTTTATATATCTCTAATTCTATATCTTTTCTTATTTTATATATGTAATAATTATACATACATTATACTTTATATATAAATATTAAAAATACTTATTTGTATATATGTTTTATATACAATTTACTTTTAAAATTAAATTATAGTAATATAAAAAAATAATTATAAATAAATAATTTAATATTTAAAATAAAAATAATTAAAATCATAATAAATAATTATATTATATATATAATATAAGATAAAAAAAAACCAAAATTATTTTAATGCATATTGCACAAAACTAATGATATAACCTATACAAAATTTAAAATATTTTGAAACTAAAAGCTAGCTTATTTTATTAAAATAGAATTCATTAATCATTATTCTTTATAACAAATTTATATCAGCATTTTATTGTTTCTACTAATCTAATTAGAATCTAATTAGAATCAATTTTAGAATATTATTTTTATTTTTTAATTATAAACTAGCATAAATTATTATTAATTTTTAGCATTTTCTTCTTTATATTTCTTTAATAATACTCTAGAAGTTTTCTATCAGATTTAGATTTAAATTATTAAAAGCTCAGATAACAATTTTAGAAAAATTTTTTGAAAAAAATTTTGGCATATTAGTTAAATGTACTTTGGATCATTATCTTATTAAAAATACTATTCATTTTCTAACAAGTCTTCAATCTTTAAAAGGTGTTTACAGAATATATTTACATAAATTTAGCATTCATTATTTGAAAAAAATAATATAAATTTATTTTTTCTTTTATGTAAAATCTTCTTATACAAAGATTTTATTTAATTTTTAAACATATGATATATTGATTATTATTCTTTATTTTAGTATTCTATAATATTTTAAACAGTTAAAAAATAATTTCATCTAAAATAAAGAATTATTCTAATTATCAGTAAAATAGTTTTGAATTTATTTTATCAGTTTATGCTTATTGTTTACAATCAGCATCAGTATTCTCTTAAAAATTCTTTTTAAAATTCAATTTTAGCCAAATGTCTTTCTATTATCTTATAGAATATATTCATATCTTTTGATGATAATGTTATTAATAAGATCTTTGTTTGAATAAAAGAATCTCAGTGAATAAATTAGACTAATACTTTTGATATATTAGTCAAAATCATTTTTAAAAGATTATTTTCTTTAAATGTTAAATTATTCTAGACTTACAAA